TATTTTACTGTCATGCGCCATTTGAAGCTGATCAAAAAGTTGAAAAGAATTATAAGTGGATAACCAATGAACTCATCGACATTGAAAAATCATCATTTTAAAGTGTCATCTTCTCTTTATCTACGCGACAGTCACAAGCTATTTCTTGATGGCATTATGACTTGCGACGAGAAGTGTATATTATACGAAAATCGGCTAGTATTAGCTTAGTATTTGGATCGTGAAGAAACTGCATAGCATTTTCCAGAGTCAGAACTACGCAGAAGAAAGTCATGATTACTGTGTGATGATTTTCTGCTCGTTTGATCCACTATAGTTCTGAGATCCGGCGGAACCATTACATCAAGGTATGCTCATCAAAATGATAAGCACCAAAAGCTGCCCTGCAACCGATATCGGTCAACAAGAAGGACCAATTATTCCCGAAGACATTGCGCAGCCACACGTCGTACAGCGGGCATTTTAAAAGTTTAACGAATTGTAGCCACAAAGTTTTGCCTCATGCTCCATATTTGCCGTATATTGCACCCATCAACTACCACTTTTCCAAGCATCTCTACAACTTCTTGCGCTTCAATAACCAAGGCAATGAAGGAAGAGCTTTTCAAGAACTCATCGGACACCAAACTGATTATCATGTTGTTAAAATAGAGAAACATGTTTCCCGTCGGCAACTACGTGTTGATCGTATTAGTTCCCATTTTGATTAGTAAAGATCTCTTTGGAACTAATTATAATGATTTGAGATTTACAAAACAAAGTCGCAGTTACTTTCACAAAGGACTGTCATTCATTAGAAAATGTGATAGATCAAACTCTATTTGTAGGGAAAGTGATACTTGTTTACCGGCACCTCTACTGTTTTCTACCTATCGAGAAAGTTTCTAAAATCTCTTGTTGAACACTACACTAGTTTCTTCTATCAACACTCTTCTCATTAAACTAGCATAAACAGCGTGATTAGTCAAGTTAGCTATGTATTATCTCGTTAGTATCGTCATTAGTTTGAGCTCACAGTTGCTTTGTTTGTTGCTGTAAGTTCAACTATTACTCCCATATTGATATAATCCTACATTGCTATTGGTGTATTATTGTTATTATGTCAAAATGTTAATCAAAGCATGAGAATTTCTCTTGAGGAGAATCGTGAAAGTCCCACGCGGCAAAGTAGTGTTCCGTCGAGCAATGTGACTGAATCAACATTATTTGGATATGGCAACTGATTCAAACTACTGCTCCTTTTGTGATAAATATACTACAATGCTTCTACTTTCACCGCCGATCCGTGGATCACGACCTCTCATGATTCTGACGTTATTGTGATCATAATGGCAGGATCAAATTGATTAATTGTAAACATTTTTAGGCTTATTGAAAGAGGAAAAGAAAGAAGCTTGGACATAATGGACGTTAAAGCGACACCAACTATTCGAGTGATCTGTGCTTTGGTTGTTCTCATTTCTGCTCTCAGTGGTATCGCACTGAATTTCATTGTGACTGCCGCGCTTTATAAGGTAATAACAATATGTTGAAATTTTATGAAGACCTGCAACAAAATTTGAGATGCTTGAGAGCCCATGAGTGGTCCATCGTCACAACAACATTCATTTGTACAGTTTGCCGATTAATCTCGCCTACTCATTGAGCTTCGCTTCCTTTAAATCTTCAAAAAAACTCGAATGAGCTGTTTCAAAAGCAAAAGCTATAAAAAAACAAGCTCGCAACTAGGAGACACTTTAGTCGAAAATTTTTAGAAGGCATTTTTATGAAATTAAACCTAAGCTGAATTCTCACCTGATGTGCACGGAATTCCGTCCTTTTTATAGCTACATTGAAATCAGTGAGCATCTTCTATGCTTTAATGAATCTCCATTCAATGGAGAAGATGCTGTCAGTACAAACAATTATCTGAAAAACTTGCCATTAATGTGCGTACGTTCTGTTTCCTAGTTGAGTGATTTCGTCATTCACTGTAAAGGGTCAGTAGAGGGATAAAAGGGCAAAGTTATCGGTGTTACCCGATACCTAAGGTATGGACATTGCAGTCGTCTTCATCTAGCATCGTCAAAGACGACTGAAAGCATATCTGGACTTTTCGATGACTTGTGATGACGTGGCGATGTAAAAAGTCAGTGCTGCTACCCTCCTAAACAAGTCTGTTATCAAGAGAGCACGCGAGGTGCAGTCATTAGAGGTGCTAGCGATACAGCAATGGTCGACCAATTAATGATCGATGGTTCGATCCCGCGCACAAGGCTCACCAAGACTTCCATCCTTCAGCAGTCCGTGAAGTTTTACCAGACTTGCGCATTTCGATAATCAATAACTATGTCGAGTTAGTATCGCCTCGTTGAACTCCTCTTGCGACTGCTAATAGCTTCGCTTCAACTCATCATTCTCGAACGCTTTTTATCAATATAGATATCTTGCAACTAGAGCAGTTTGCATTTGCGGCGAAGTTCTGTAATCCAAGTCGCGATCTAAATGTAGCCGGTGCTTGAATATTCATTTTGGAATTACTTTTTTTACTGGTTACGCCTTAGCAAACGTCTTTTAAACGTGAGAAAAGATAAAAAACAATTTTCTTTTCCGAATAAGATGATTATTCGAGAGGCTCTCGGTCTGGCATGCTTTGCTTCTATGGGTAATGTTATATATTATTTTCTTGTTCGCGGCTTCTAATGAGAAGGAGTCTATTGCGAAATTTTCCTAGGCTCCACTTGTCACGATTCGTAGCTGCAATTCAGATGAAAAATCAACACTTTTTTTCTCTAAATCAGAACGAAATGTGTTGCACCTAATTTTGTGATTAGTTCCAAAAGACGAGGGTGTGGTAACAGCTTTTATTTGCTCCCCATGATGAAAGTGGATCATTATACTCGCAAAGATCTTGACAACGATCTATCTTGAGTAGTTTCTATCTTATGATTCAATCGATTCCTGACTCTGAGAAGATATGAGAACCTATGCAGAATGATGACACTATGGAAAACGGCAAAAATCGCCAATAGGATAACAATAGTTCTGTTGCAAAGTTATCAACTCATTCGAATACTGAATGTGTAGAATAATGAATGGAGCTAGAAGTTTTCGGCCAGCAAGAGATTTTCCGGATTTTTTCCTGTTTCGTTTCGATTGCTTCTTGAGACCACACTCAAACTTGAGATGCCTGACAGTTATTTTTGAGCCATGCATATACATATGGATACATGCGTGGTGCTAACTAAAGCAACACTTGAACCCGAACAAAACTCGTGTAGCCAACAGTCGTTTCTGCCGTCGCCACAATTCAGTCTCAAAACAAATGCATAAGTGTTTCGTATCAGAATAAGCGTAAGAAGCTGCTCTAAACTATACTAAATGATAGTAAAAACAAGAATTCAAATGCGTGAAAAATATTTATTAAAAGCAAAGAAGTCTCGAAAATTTCTTGTCCAAAAAAGGTTGCTTTTTTGTGATAAGTGAAGTATTAGTCACCCACAGTGATTAAGGCATCTATGTACGATTCTGAACTTGAATAAAGAGCTTGAGAAAAGCGGGTTGCGTTTTTATGTCTATAAAGAAAACTGTCCCGCTGGTGCTTCGAATCTTCTCGATAAAGTTAACCAGCTCAAGTCATTGCAGGGATGGAAGATTTTTCACAGCAACAGTTTTTATTTGATAACAATACAAATTATTGCATGCAGCATTTATCTCCTGCTCTTTCAACTTTATATCGCCTTCCCCATTACGCTCACAGGAGTGCAGGTACTGTTGAGCAATTTTACTTTCTTCTATTCACATATGAAAATTACTGTCATTTGGCAGTTATCTGTTACTTGAAAACTAACCTTTGTTAGCGCAAGCCATCGATTTTCAATTGCTTTTCTTGTAATTAATTTGAGTCACTGGGCTTCATACTTTCCTTATCTCACATGCTCTAATCTATTCCTTGATAAATTTTTTCACTACGCTGTGAACGCCTGGAAACCCCACATATGCTAAAAGCATCGATACAAATGATTATGAACTAGCTGGAGCCTAAAAGTGTTTGGTGGTATTTGAATTATTATCACCGATTTCTTCAAGCTTGCTCTTTTGGAACAGCAAATTATAGTTAAACTTATTACGCCTAAAATGAAGTATGCGATTATTAGGAAAATATGCTCTTTATCCTCTCTGCTCTGATCGTTTGGGGGCATGCATTATCTATTAGACCAATTAAGAGAAACTACAGTTTCGCTGCCATTGAAATTGACTATTGGCAAGCCGTTTTGTGCGGTTCTTCCTTCAGCTCTATTTCTGTGTACACACTGATAGGTGTATAACACATAAGCACCACAGAACCACAGCGCTAGACTTGATCCGTAATGCGCTTGGCTACTCGGCGGCGAGCAGCGTGCAGTGACGAGTGCCTTGGCTTCCGTCCATCGGGAAGAAGGTTGCTGATCCGATCCCCCACCACAACACTTCACTGTGGTTTTTTTCGCTGTTACCACTTATTTTCACTACAATATATTCAAATCACTGACAAACCGTGTCACACCATATATAGAAAAAGTTGGAGTTTTTTCTCTTTCTCTTTAGTTCTAAGACAGACAAATGAATATCGGACCTCAGTAGCTGGACAAGATATTTTCATAGAAGTGTTGGTTATCATTCGCAAGCTTGAATCTCTGGCGATAGCTCTCCGCGGCCGGTTTCCAATAAAGACTATTTTGACGTTGTTGCTGAAAGAAATTCCTTGTGATCCACATGCCCATGATTCCCGCCGGAAGAGCTTTTTCTTTAGACAATTAGCAATCAATAATGTAGAGTGCTGCGCAAAAACATTTGCGTCAGCCGGGATTCGAACCCAGATCTCACTCTATCCGTGAGCATGTGCTAAACCGTTGACCACCGACGTTAGTTTTGCACAGCAATAGGGGCCAATGCCAATAGCGGCTGCCCCGCCAGACCGTCGACGGTTCGTTGTTGACAGATAACGCATTGTAGCGTAGAAGGAGTGCTGTGCAAAATGAGCGTCGGTGGTGCAACGGTTAGCATACGCGCCTCCAGAGAGTGAGATCTGGGTTTGAATCCCTGTTGACGCAATTGTTTTTCACAATACTTTACATTATTGGGTATATTATAATATCGTACCACGGCAAGAGGCGGTCAAATAATTGAATTTCAATTAATTAGTAATCATTCTATAGCGTAGTTTGCTCATTTTAATGCAGTGTTCATATCCTGAAAAACCGTTTCCCTGCAGTGCGGCAGGAAAAACAAGATTGAATTCGCACGCGCGAGAAAGCGGTCTTTGGCCAGTTCGCTGGGCGCTGGGCGAGACAGAAAGGTCGGCTGATGCAATCCTTTATCGAGCAACGTGTAGAAGAAGCCTCTTGTTATCTGAATGACTTCGAATCATGCTGGAAACAATTAAGACGTTCTCGCCTCCTGAATTTATCAAAGTGATCGTAATGACGATTGATTTATCCGCATTCAAGGCAAAATAAAAGTATTTAAATTTTGTTGTAGCAGAGTCATTCATACGCTTTCTTTGGAGATTTTCTTCCAGAGCAGAGAATAATTTCCTAGTTGGATAAGAAAGATTGAACCAGCAAAAGACTGGTTGAAAAGCAATTGATATTTGCGCAGCTCCATTGCCGCCACCCAGCGGCCCGTAAATTAGCCAAAAACTATGTGACATTACACAATCGAATGATTACTAATAATCCAACAAAAAAGCTGTGCATTGTGAGAAATATGCGCGTGTGAAACATTATTTCATTTCGGATTTTACAGCATAAGAAAAATGTTTTTTCGAAAACCGGTTACGTACGGCTCGAGCCCGAGATTCAGGATTTCACATGGTACCAACACTTCCTTTTAAAATTCCTGTCCAGCGAATGAGGTTGGATATTTATTTGTCGCTTTATAACCAAACAAAACCAACGTTTCATATCCAACTGATGTACGTCATATATCAAAAAGTTGTGAAATGTTAGACAAGTAGACTCCTTTTGCTATAATAATTACGTTATAGGAAAACCTTTAACACTAATTGACACAAGAAAATAGCGCTGAAAAAACTATAATGAAGCATAGTGTTAGGGGATTGAACCAGCAGCCTTCTTCCCAAGGACTGCAGCAGGTTGCAATCGCTGATGCGGACAGCTTGCCGCCGAGCAACCACCCGTGACGGAGCGGGGCTAGCTCTGGAGTCTGCCGCCGCCCAGTGTGTTGTTTTTTGCAAGAACCATTTTTACAGGTGAGGAGTAAGAGGAGAGATTATAAGTCACCTCGTTTTTGTTAGTGGCTTTCTGCATCACTCTGAGATAAAAACATTCTCGCATTGCTTGATTTGACCACTCAGCAATAAAACCCTGTGTTTCAGGATTTAGGAGCTTTTACAAACATCCAAGAATGCTGGGTGATGTGAAAACTCTGAGCCTTATTGGAAATTGAACCAGCGTTCCGTTTATGCTATAGCCGAGTACTAATCAGTATATACCGAGACTATTGCTCTGTTGTCACTCGTTTCGCGATATAATGTATGGAAGCTAACAGCAATGAGCCGGCAACAAAATCTGTTTTGTAGGCACTTATCAGCATCAAGCCCAAGTATGAATAATCGCAAGACGGCTGCGACCCTGCAATGATTAGCACGCATCCCCGGTAATGGTGAAGCACGACTTCAACTTTTGCCTGAAATTTAGGGCTCGACACATCAGTCAACATTCTTAGCTATATAGTTCTATCATAATAATAATGCTATAGATGGATAAAATAGATACTTTCTAAATTTTCACAAATGATCATCTTCAACGTTTCAGTATATGGGTGATGGCTTATTCTACAAGGCAGCACAATACCTTGAAGCTGTAGCATATATGACTATGCTTCTTCTTACATTTCTACTTTCAATCGACAGATTTACTATATTTGTTTTTCCAAAGATCAATGGCGTTTTCTTTTCAACAAAAAACACAATTATGTGAGTCTTTAGTTTTTTGCTAAGCAAGCCATTTGATAGTTTTGCCTACTCTCTAGTTTCAGAATGTGTGGTTTTCTATGGATTTATATGATATCTATCCAGACGTTCAACCACCTTTCCGGATGCGAAAAAAAGTTTTCTATCGAAGGTAATATGCGAAGGTAGCAGGACAGGCAAATGTCTAGAACTGTCAACCTAAATGCCTTACCCTATTCAAAAAATGCGATACTGAATCATCATTAAAATCAATAGAAACGACGCTTTTTGCAGAGTTTTATAACTGGATTGACTGCACAGAGCAAATAAAAAATGGGCTGTACGTCGAAGATGTAAGACCTTCAATCATTTCACTTTTACTAAAATAATATAAGCATGAAATTATGAATTGCAAGGAGAAAATTTGTTTAAAATTAGCAATACTTACTAAGAAGTCCCCAAAGGTCACGTGCTCTTGGGTGTCGGACTGTGATGTATAGAAAAAGATTTATTCTCTTACTTCCATGCTCAGATGTTGCCCGATGTTTCCATCGTAAATTTCAACTTGGAGTAAACCATTACCAAAAAGCACGACCAGCTTGATTACCAGCAAGTGACAAGCTAATAAATGTGTCTTTCAATCGTAATCGCCACAGCGGCCTGAGGAACCCCTCAGCTACGACCTCGAGATTCCAGAAAATTCTAACGGCTCAGTCTGAGAAACACATCCTTATTACGCCGTCCACTGTGCTTTTCACGGAGTTAAGACCGTGAGAGAACTCGTAAGAGAGGGTCAAATCTTGGGGTGAACAGGACGCCATTGGAAACGAACAAGACTAGTGCAACGACATGGCCATGACGACTGCTTTCTCTTCTTCCCCGATAACAGGGTAACAATTTTCTCCAGTGCCGATCATCACGAGATTTCTGACGCCTCTATAAACATAAAATTTTGAATGATCGCTCTACAAGGTAAAAGCTGAAAGACCAACAAACAAATATTGGATTACAAGACAACTTCGGTCTGCGGAGGAGAATTTCACACAACGAAAGCTAAGTGGCGTTGTCTTTACCGTTCACCCGCTCATCTAAAATCCAACTCCTTTTATGAAATCCTACGAATTTTTTTGGACGGCCTGTCTTCACTGATATTGCCAACCCTATCGCAGGAAAACTCACTGGTTTAGCTGCTTTTTTTCGGAGTCACAAAATATGCCTAACTAAGGCTTCCTCAGGTCTTCCACAACAGAGCAGTTGCTGGACCCTGTGAATTAGAAAGAGCTTACCACTTTCCGACAAGTAGCTACCATAGTGGCGGTCTTTCCTGGTACTGTTTACCCTTAGCTGAGATTTCTAGGTGAAGACGTCGGACTCCTTTTCAGCTTGAGTTATCCCGCTGCAGAAGGGTGAAGGGTAATGAATCCTCTGCTGTATTTCGCAGTTCTCGCGCCGACGATGAGGCTATAAGCCATTTGAGAGGATGGAATCAATAAGATTTATTTATTGAACCACTATTTTGATGGCAAGATGATGTTTTAATTACATATACAATAATGTCAATGATATGCAAAACCTTGAATTACTGTTGGAAACCAACAATAAGTTGTGGGCAAATCACTATCTTGGGGCATAGAAAGAATGGTAGTAGAACGGGTTCTGTTCTAGAGTATTTTATTGTGTACTGCTCAGATAATTGAATACGCTGGAAAAGCTATTCACAAAATGCAGTTATCATAATCCGAATACGTTCGAAGAGGTAGATATGGATGCTTATATAATACTCTTCACCTTATAAAGAAGGTCAAATGTGAACGTCTTATATGGTTTTTTTTACCATTCTTATCCATTCGCATTTATTTGAAAAATCCATAACATTCAAGCTGTAATGGTGATGATGTAATAATCATATGCGAGATGAAGAACTTTGCTAGGCGAGGAGTATAAGTATTCACATCTACCGTTATCAATGTTCTCTTTGAACGCATTCGGATTATGACTGCTGCATTATGTGAGAAGCTTTTCGAGAGTTTCTATTCTGCTAAAAATTACAGAGTAGACCGTTCTAAAGTTAAACTATTTCTGAGGCTTTCGGTGGCAGCATTCGATAAAATAGCTGCGGCAATTTAACTTTCTTTTCAGCTTCTCTACTATCAATGCAACGTGGTAGCAGTTCTGATGTGTTGCGTATACTTTATTATTTATGTGAAAATAAGGGCGCCTCGACAAACTGTTGATGAAGGACATCTGAAAAAAGAGATATTATTCTTGATCCAGGCAAGAAAATCTTACTTTGCGGATTTTAGGCTCTCGCTATTTCTTCGGACACTCATTCACAAGAAGGAGTAGTTTTTTGGATTGTCAACATTCAGAATCTATGATAATTTGATCGATCATGAAAAAAAAACTGCTGAAGCTAGACGAAATCTGTATCATCAGCTTGCTCATCTCTCGTGTGATTTTGTTAGAAAAGCTGAACATTTGAAAGTTATGAAGACACCAGTTTTCAAGCACTTGAAACAGCGAAATCAAATCGTCCGGCGTCAATCTCGCCTGCTATGTCTATCGATAGGAGTTGAGCATCACCTTATTGCCTACTTAATTGAACACAATGTCCACTTATGTCACTGCTGCTTGCCAAATGAAGCCATTTGTGAGAATCTTAGGCGAAGTATGGTCGAAGAAGCAATTAATGCATTCTATAAAAGCTAGTAGGTCAATATCATGCGACGACGTTTTGAATATTAGTCAATATTACTTAGTCAATATTATTCAATATGTAGTCATGAAGTCATACCACTGCTAAAAAGCTGCTAAATAAGAAATCTTGTTGATTGTAAGCTAAAAGTATCTGTGCGGTCACGAAATTCACTGTTGCTATTTAATCACATTCTGCGTGAGGTGGAATGGTGAAAAGTCAAGGAGAAGACGATGTAAGGCGGTTGCGTTGCTCATTGTTTTACTGATCTGTTGATGACATTGTTCCTACTCTTGTCAGCAGCTGTCATATCCAACTGCAATTGTTCTTACCTTGCTGAAGTTGTGCTTGGTTAGATGCTATTGTAGCCACCGCTCGTATCTCAAACTTGGGTAATTAAACATTCATTTACATAGTAATATTGTTATCACGACAAACAACAA